CCCGACTCAAACACATCATTTCCGGAGAGAGGGGCTGGGAACCCTGGGCAACACTGACCTCTCCTGTTCCGCAGAGTTCAAGGAGGCCTTCGAGCTGTTTGACCGAGTAGGGGATGGCAAGATCCTGTACAGCCAGTGTGGGGACGTGATGAGGGCCCTGGGCCAGAACCCCACCAACGCCGAGGTGCTCAAGGTCCTGGGGAACCCCAAGAGTGACGGTGAGGGCACCCTTGGAACAATGTGGACTCTCAGTCTTCCGTAGTGGAAAGTGTGAAGGATGACAAAGGATGCCGGGGTGGATCTCGGGACCTCAGAAACTGTCAAACACAGGGTAGAGAAACATCCTGGAGCAGGACAGGAGGCAAGCCGGAGTGGTGGGACGGGCCAGGTCCTAGGTGTCACCACAGTGACCTCTCCCTTACCTCTCTCTAATCTCCAGAGCTGAAGACCCGGCGTGTGGACTTCGAGACTTTCCTGCCCATGCTCCAGGCAGTGGCCAAGAACCGGGACCAAGGCACATACGAGGACTACCTGGAGGGGCTTCGGGTGTTTGACAAGGAGGGAAACGGCAAAGTCATGGGAGCGGAGCTCAGACATGTCCTTACCACCCTGGGTGAGGCAGGGACCAGAACTCCTTTGGGGTGGAGAGGGCAGGGTGGACCAGGAAGAAACTGGCCAGGTTGGCAGAGCCGGGGAGGAGATTATCATCCCGCGGGGCACTCGCAGGAGCCTGTGCAGGCAGGACTTGATCCTCCCCAGGCCAGAGTGCCTCCTGGAGGGCAGAGTCAGGGGGGCGTGGGGGACCCAAGTGCGAGTTTTGGAAGAGATGCTTGTGTTCCGTGATCAGGGTTCACTTCCCCTGTCTGTCAGAGCTTTCACTGGTACCAAGGTGGACTGGAAAGCAAGAGGCGTCAGCTTCACAAGGGAGGGTGGCTTTGGGCCAGTCTGGGGCGGGCGTGGGGGTACCGCCTGGGAGCCTGCCTGGGACTGGCACTCAAATGCCATCTGGGGTTCAGGAGAGAAGATGACTGAGGAGGAGGTGGAGACTGTTCTAGCAGGACATGAGGACAGCAACGGCTGCATCAACTATGAGGGTGAGGGGCCAGGGCAGGAGGGGAGCCCCGGTCTCGCCGAGCGTGGGTGGTGACACTCAGCGGGTTACCTGCGGTCGGTGGGTTAGCCGAGGGCCTGCCTCTGAGGGCGCGCTGCCTCCTCTCCGCAGCCTTCCTGAAGCACATCCTAAGCGTCTGAGCGCCACAGGTACCCACCCAACCCCGGAGAGCAAGTCTCCTTCCCTTCCCTCAGCCCCGGTGGAAACGCAGGGGAGTGCGTCTTCTGCAGGTTGCTGCGCCAGGGCTTGGCCAACTTTCACTTTCCCCACAGATCCAGTGGGCTGGGACCCCAGGCCCCGCCGCGGAAGCACGTTCCTGCCACCAGGGGGCCACCTATTGTTTCAAAATAAAGACATGGTTCCTTCCTCGGTCTGACTGTTTCTTTTTCCAGGGGTCGGGGGGAGGGGTGGGCGGGCTCCTCCCGCTCCCAAATCCGATATCCTCTGATCTCTCTGCGGTTCGGAGCAGACTGAAGGTGCACCCCGGCAGCCCGGATGGCGCGGTTCCAGCGCCCAGGTGGGGCTCGGGGAGAAAGGGACTGCGGCGCGGCCCGCCCACCTCATTACTAATGTAGCTGCACCCTCTGCGTGAGCCCCGGGCAAGGTCCCTATTGGCTGAGCCCGCCGAGGGTGACGTCAGTGGGACGTACTAAAACGGGTTGGGCCTGCAGTCGGAGCCATTACTGCAGGGAAGGTCCCGCAGAGCTGAGCAGTCAAGATGGTGGGGCCCGGGCCCTGGGAGATACACGGGAATTGGGGCGAGAGGCGGGAAGCCACGGGTAGGGGGCGAGGACGAGGAGCGGTAGTGGGAAGGCAGAGCCTGGGGGCCTGGAAGATTGGAGGCGGGGTTGGAAAGTCTGGGGCCTGTCCCGCCGGGAAGTGAGTCCTCACCTGAGACTGGAGTTTGTGGTTCAGCTTGTGGGACTGGGATTGAAACTTGGGGGATTGCAGTTCAGATGCTGACCACTCCCCTCTTCTCTGAGCAGTGTGACTTCACCGAAGACCAGACCGCAGGTAGGTAGTCTCTGACCCCTAATGAGGTCACCCTTAGGGAGAGGTGTCCCCCTCCAGTACCTACCCCCAACTCCAACCTGTCATCTCTCTAGCACCCACCCCTCCAGAAAGTACTCACAGCTTCCTTTCTTCTTCCTTCTGAATCCTCCATTTTCTTTTCTCACTCTTTCTCCCTCCCCTTCCACTCTAGATGTGAACCCCAAGCACTGGGTGAGTTTAGGTGTGGGTTTGCAAAAGGGATCTGGTCACCTAATGCTTGCTGTGTGGGGCTTGGGGAGGATGTGTAAAGCAGGCTGTGCTCCTTTGCCCCTTAATCTGCTGCTTCGGCCTCTTCTGTCCTGTCCTAACTGTCCTCTCCAACAATTTGGGTTGTGAAGATTGTAAAGGGCAATGGCCCGCTCGTGAAGATGTGGGCAGGGGAGTTTGCGGAGGATGTGACTTTGCAGCTCTAGCCTCTGCAGGGTTTGTACAGGAGTGGGAAGTGCGGGCAGGATGACCCCAGCCCCAGGCTGCTGCTCCCACTTCCTTATAAGGACAGGACCCAGACTGGGCGGTGGCAGATTCCTGCCCCAGGAGTGTAGTAGTGGCTGGGAGGCTGGGCAGGCCAGGCCAGCTGCCGGCAGAGGGGGCGTGTAATGGATGTTGCGAAGGAAGGCTGTATCTTTGTGGGACAAAGTTGGGAGGAAGAGAAATGGATCCCTCTCAGCAGACTTGGGTGTACAGTGGGGTACAGATATCTGGTTCCCTTGGCATGATCAAAGTTTAATGCACCGTAGAGCCCTGAGGTGGGTCGGGTTGGGGTAACCGGGATAACCTCAGTGCTGGCTTTATCCAAATCTTCAGAGTTCAAGGAGGCCTTCCAGCTGTTTGACCGGACAGGGGATGGCAAGATCCTGTACAGCCAGTGTGGGGATGTGATGAGGGCCCTGGGCCAGAACCCCACCAACGCCGAGGTGCTCAAGGTCCTGGGGAACCCCAAGAGTGACGGTGAGGTTCTTCAAGAACAACTCCTGAGTTTGGTAGTAAGCTCATAGTTCAGCTCAGCACTTCCCTCTACCTCCATAGGCCCCAAAGTCAAGCAAATCTCAGTTTCATTAGCAAATCCCAGATTGGCCCACTTTGGGTGGAGTCATTGTTCAGCTGAGATCCCTGAAAATCCCACCAGGAGAACCGTGTGACTTATCTGGCCTGACATTTCACCCTCTTTACGGCAGAGATGAATGTGAAGGTGCTGGACTTCGAGCACTTCCTGCCTATGCTGCAGACGGTGGCCAAGAATAAGGACCAGGGCACTTATGAGGACTACGTTGAAGGCCTTCGGGTGTTTGACAAGGAAGGGAACGGCACCGTCATGGGTGCTGAAATTCGGCACGTCCTCGTCACATTGGGTAAGACCCTGTGCTCTTGTCCTTGAGCGATGATGCCACCCTGCTGTACCTAGTACCAGTTCCTCAAATGCTCGCTTTCCCTCTGCAGGGGAGAAGATGACAGAGGAAGAAGTGGAGATGCTGGTGGCAGGGCACGAGGACAGCAATGGTTGTATCAACTATGAAGGTGAGGGGGAAACTGAGGCTCCTGGAGGAAGCAGCCATATGTATGGATCTGGTCAAAGATAGCATTTGGGGCTTTCCTTCCTGGACTTGGGCTCCAAAAGGAGCCAGGAGGCAAGGGTCCGGGCTCAGCCCGGCCCTGGAGTGGGAGGTCACAGGGGTATGACAGGAAAGGTAGGGGCCATGTGGTGTTAAGGGTGGGGAAGGAGTCAGAAGTAAAATAAATGGAATGTCTGTTCCCCTACCGCCTGACCCCTTCACCCCATGTCTGTGTCTTGTCTTCACCATTAATGTCTCTTCCTTCCTGCAGCGTTTGTGAGGCATATCCTGTCGGGGTGACGGGCCCGTGGGGCGGGTACGGCTCCCCCCCGCCTCTCTTTCTCTA